GAGGATTTTTTGTGGCTCCTCGAGAACGTTGGGTAGTTCAAACCTTGCTGATACCTTTTTATGCTTTTGTGTTTAGAATATATATTTAGTACACTTGAATATTTAGGGTTGTGAAAAACTTAACAAATTCATTATTGTGTGCATTTATCATTTCAATCGGAATCTAGCGTTAAATGATTCTAATCACATAATTGCTAATTAATTCCTTTTCTAGCACATATACCATTAATGTAAAAGCATATTTCCAACAGAGAAAATGGTGATTTAAACAAACAGAGCCTAGCCAACAAGAATTTGGTGAGTACATTATTCTATATTTTAACAAAAATGACAAACTGTATATTCATATATCAAATATAATTTAGTTAAAAGATTATATTGTGCCATGTTTAATTACCAGGTGACGATCCTCAATCCGGCTTTCATGAAACACGTTCATCAAGTTTGGTTGCAAAAGAAGGGTGCTTATCCATCTACTGGCTTCATGGCTTTGGCAATCAGCTTGATGATTTGTGATGAGGTAGGATCACATTCCAAAAGTCAAAGAAATACCAGTGAAGCAATAAGGACTGCTGTGCAATAAGTACATATGCCATAACTGCCAACTATGCTAAAAAACCCCAGAGAATTGTAATTTTATTTTTGTCCATTACGTCTTTGATTGCATTATTTTGGATCTACACTGACAAAAAAGGCCATGTTGGATTTACTTAATTCAATAGTGGACATTGGTTGCACACAATTGTTTTGCTTTCGCAGAAACTTAAACAGCTGAGTTAAATCAACACAACTTTTTCATATTCAATAAACCTGTGCATTTTGTGTTCATAAAATGCGATTGAAACATGTTTAGATGAAGTAAGTTGAGTTCTTGGAATATTTGAATCCTTCACAATTTTGTCATTTTATTTCAACACTATTCAATAACTTTTACCCCAATACAACTTGGTCACTTAAATACTGCATGTTGTCTTCATATTACATAATGTTCAACAAAGTCTAGAGTCTGGTTACCATAAAAATTGAATGGATCTACAACAGCTACGATCCTCCTATCTTTATCCTGGTTGCAGGGGGGCTGGGAAATAACCCTGAAGTGATAGGTTACACCCTGGACAGCTCACCAGTCTATCACATAGAGACAAACAACCATTTGCACTTACATTCACGGGTAATTTAGAATCACCAATTAACCTAACTCTAATAACTGCATGACTTCTAACTGTGGGAGGAAACCAGAATACCCAGAGAGAAACAACTGCAAACTAGCTAGATTGTGGATTTGAACCCAGGACCTTCTTACTGTGAAGCAACAGCACTAACCAGCATGCCACCAATCCAGGAAATCCAGGAAAGCTATGATTTCAAGCTTTGATGCAGAATTTTTTTGTTTTTGTCCTTGACAGGTTAAACCACAATAAATAGCAATAGCATACATGCGATGTGTGCTATTGTTGTTTAATCAAAATTTACGAAGACCAAAGAGTAAGAATGATAATGTGCTGTTTACCTCTTTCTCCTGTTTTAAATTAAACAAAGTATAGAGATTGAAAATGTGATGTCATTCAAGGGTAAAACCGCAAAGAATTCTGGGAACTCGTGGCAAGAGGTACTAGCGCACGCAGGCTTTCAATTGAAATCAGTTACACAGCGATAAAAAGAAACACAAAAAACTGGCAAGAAGCGGTTGTATTATTAACTGCAATAGCCGGTCGCATGACAGAGATCGTTTTTTATCAGATTACGTCATTGAAGAGAAATTGTTCAGCCATGTTTCCAAAGTAACAAAGAGCCGACGGATGGCCTGGATTGCAGCCATTCAAAGACCAAATATAACATCCCAGAACACTCCAGCTCACATGTTAGTCTACTCCAAACATTTCCACAAAGGTCAGTGTTTTGTAGTAGTTAATACGTCATTTTTTATAACATAATTGGTGATATAGGTTACAAGCAAGTCTGGCGCTGAACAGAAATGGTCGCGCTATGCTCCTTTGTTTATTGTGCATAAATAGTGAATTGTCCTGACACAATATTGCGTTTCGCTTCATTTATTACCATGGTACATTGACAAAAACATATACTTTTATTCACAGGATAAAACAGGGTGTTTTGTATCACTAATTACCCAGTAGGATTACAGCATACAATATTATTGTCACTGCTACATTTCTGTAATGCGAACCAGAAATTATTTCCACTACTAATTAATTACCGTTGAGCTCAAAGGTCCTATTAATAAACGGTTAACGAATGTGTATTTATGAAGACGATTTGTGAGACTGGTAAACTTATGATACCTATGGTGGTCTTTCGTTCTACACGGTGCATTTCATGGTCCTGTACCCATCTGTCGGTAAAGTGTACCTGGGCTTGTTGCAGTGACCTGAAGATACTAAACTTCATGAGTGTATGTCTGTGAAGGTTCTCAGTCATCCAGGTCATCGTAGGCTTCTTCAGTTCTGAAGAACTGAAGAAGCCTCTCGGATGAGAGGTGAAACATCTTCAAGTAACTTAAAGAAGTCCAGACGCTTTTCTTTGCAAGCTCCTTAGACTTCATGAGTGTATGCACTCACTCCAAGAACCGTATAATTATAAATATGAGCGTGGTGAAAGTTGGGCAGCACACTAACGTCTTTTGTCCACTCTGTGTGCTCGTAAGGGTCTAAACCTTTCACTCCTTTGATTTTTTCCTCGTATCTTTTCTTTGACTTTTCATCAAGTCTGTCTTTGTACGGTCCGGCATTGTTCTCCTTCGTTTTGTACATAACTTTTTTGGGGGGCAAAGAAAAAGCAAGAAGGTATTGGAACCGGAGAATGAATGTTTTGCGGTGCTGCAAATGCTTGCGTTTGATGCGGTACTTGGATTTTTTGCCACGAGTTACCGGCATGCAATGCGCGAAAGTCACGTGGTCTGTCAATCTCTATACTGTGATGCTGACTTTCCCAACACATGTATAGTAATTCCTTATAGCAGTGGTTCCCAAACTTTTTTTGCTAGGACCCCCTTTGTTTTAGAAGATCATCACAGTATTGCCAATTTAGTAGTGATGTGTCGGTCGCGAACGAAACGGCTCTTAGAGAATATTTGAAGTGAACGACGCAAGCTGGCTCCTCATTGGGAGTCGTGGTTTTCTTTCTATCTTTCTCTCATCCTCTCTCTCTCTCTCTCACTTTTTTTACGCTTCACTCCACACGCAAGCCTTGTGCTTTGCGCTGGGAAGAGGGGGGAGGTAGTTACACTCGCAGTAGCACAGGAACAGAGCGGGAGGGAGAGAGAGAGAGAAAGAGAGCCAGGGACAACAACGTCACATTAGAAAGGTATAGTGATCATCCACAACTATTTTCAGTTGCGGACGATAAAGGATTCAGAAAGTTTATTCATGCAGGCCCAAATTTCAGAGAATGTGCATTTTCTTTTTGTTTTCATATTTTTTCATATTTATATTTAATTGTGTTGTGGTTTTTTTCAGTGTTTTGTCTTGTTCCACTTTAAATTTGTTTAAAAGGAAAAGCTGAAAATGTAAATGTTTAAAAGTTTAAATGTAGTTGTTTTTTGTATTATATAATTTATTTATTATACTTTATGTAGAGTAAATAAATAAAAGTATATTTACGGTGGCTCATAGACACAAAACACGTACAAACTCCAAAACACGTACAAAGCACAACAGAAGTGCTCCAGGATGCTAGGGGCAGTGTTGAGCTTTTGTTACCTAGTGGCTACACAAGTCAGGAAGTACCAATGACTGGATTTGGTGTGTGGTAGTAACAGGTAAATGAACATTTTTTAAAAATTATTTGAATATATATGAGTGCTTGAGTATAAATACACAAACAATACACATATGCTTTCAATTGTGTAATTTAAGTGATCTAGTAGCTCTGCTTTGGAAGTTCAGTTAACGCTAGAAATGTGTTTTGGAGTTTGTACGTGTTTTTTGGAGTTTGTACGTCATTTGTCTCTAGGAGCCACCGTATAAATTTATATACAAATATATATAAATAAAATCACAGTTGTTTTTACATTAGTAATTCCTTTTGTGCATAATTTTATATTGCTGTTAATAATAAATTAATTAAAGCAACAAAACAACCTGAAGATCCGGTTGCGAGCCGAAAGAGCCGGCTCTTTTTAGTGAGTCTAGCCAAAAGAGCCGGTTCTCTAAAAAGAGACGGAAATCCCATCACTACAACTTAGTGACTTGGTCGTTAAATTTGAAAATCTGGCAACTTTTTCTGGTGTCACTGGAGTCTTGTGACGATGTCATTTAGCAGCTTCTAGCGACTTTTAGGACAGCCAAAAGCAATTTTCCTTACTGAGGAGTTGGCAACACTGCAAATACACCCTTCAACCACAGACACGCCCACTGCGGTTTATTCCACACCACACATTCCTATAAATACATTGTCTCTCTGTGCAAAATGGGTTTATTTTTTTTTTTTTGGACAGTGAGAAAGGGGGGAAAAAATATCTCCCGGATCACCTGTTGAGAGAAAAAGAATACAAAATGGGTTTAAAAATAATCAACTGCAGGATACTGTTTGTCCATGATTTGAACCGGAGGAACAAATTGTGGCAGGATCAGTGTTGTGCCAAGATAGGTATCACTGACAATATTTGTTTCTCCTGCGTCGCGAGCATTCGCTTAGCACGGAGTGCTGATCCAGTTTACTCCGCCTCCATTACAGAAAATTAGACGTGGAAGTAGTGATGTTTTAGTTTTGTGATAAAGTGAAAATGAGTGTCATTGCATTACCATTCAGTTTGAGGGTTACAGCAAAAATGTTATATTTATTATAATCACGTGGTATCGGACGGGATTATTTTAACAAACGAAGGACATTTTACCTGATAATTATTTTTTTTTATCCTCCTGTAACTTCACTTTATAAAGAGCTAAAACCTTCAAAGTTTCAGGATTAGTTAGTGGTTATGAGAAGTCTTTGTGAACTAAAAATCAAGAATGTGGCTCAGATTGGTGAGGTGTGGGTAGGGGGTTATTGTCTTTGGGAGTCGCTAGTTTGATTCCCAGTAATGGTCCTGGCTAGACCCCACATGCTAAAAAAACCCCAAAAACCAAGCTGTAAAATGGCACAGCTACGTCTGCAGCTTGTCCGCACCTCGGACACAAACATTTCACTACATGTTGTACTCTGTACTCTGTATGTGACAAATAAAGGTTGTTGTTATTGGCATGCCAAGGATTCTTGGCATGCCAAGGATGCCAAGGATTCTTTTTTGACAGTGTTAATCACTCTGTGCAACCTTCCTGTTCTCCATTGTAGCCCTCAATGGAGAGCATGCTCTCCTACTGTTAGGCCTTCTTTACCAGGGTATTGGTGTATTGGGTCCAGGTGAGATCAGCAGAGATGTGGGTGCCCAGAAACCTGAGGTTGGGGACAGATTCCAGCCGTTCTGTGTTTTTAATCAGAGGGGTGAGGACCTCTCTGTGCCTTGTGAGTTCTTTTCCTTTAACCCTTTAAAACCCGTTGGAGTGGGCGCGCGCCATTTTGCATAACTATTTTTAAATTGCTGTAGAACTGGAACCACGTGAGCTAGCGCAATAACTTTTCTTGCATATGAAACTGGAGGAGTTGTACTTACATCTTATGCTATCAGCTTGCCCCTAGGTCACAGTTTCCTTCCACATATAGCTTTGCAAAAATTGCATAAAAAGCGCTTGCAGCAACAAAAATATAATATTCCAGAAACACGCTTTGCCGATCCGATTAGCTGTTCAAAACACTTCCTACGTTGGAATAGACGTCAGCGCGAACTATCGCATTACCTGGCAAAAACCGGAAGTGACGTCATTTTTTTTTTACCTTCAGGGCCTTATAAGCCTATACTGGTGTTTTTAAAATTCACGTTTGACTTTACGCTTTTCTGAATAGTTTCTGGGATGCTTAGAACTTAAATTGCACTGCAGGAAATAGTTTATTTTGATGCACATGCTTTTTTGCAAATTTGCAGTATAATATTTATTTTCGTTTTTCCTGTAGTCCATAAAAATTGGTGTATTTCAAAAATAAAACTATGAAGACACTCAAAATAAATTGCCTGTTGTTGGAAACTACTTTGTGCAACTTTTTTGTATTTACTTTTTTGAGGGATAAACCTCTTAAATTTCTCTAACTAGAAATATATGTAAATAAAATAAAAATGATTTTCAATTTTTTTGTAGTTTATTGCATTTTTTGGCAATTTATGTAGTTACTATGGACTTAATGATTACATATTATTAATATTTGGGCTATAACGGTTGTACTGATGTATAGGAACTTGAAATGGCACTACAGAATGTAAAAATATAAAGATAAGCTCTGGTGGACTTAGTTCTATGGTCTTAAAGGGTTAAGGACGTTCATCTTCAGATGATTTTCTGAACACCAGTGGGTCAAGTTCTCTACCTCCTCCCTGTATGCGGTCTCATCTCCAACACACATGAGCCCAACCAAAGTGGTGTCATCGGCATGCTTGATGATGACGTTGTTTGGATGGGTTGGTGTACAATCATAACTGTACAGTAGGGGCTGAAAATGCAGCCCTGTGGGGAAGGGTCAAGTCGGACTGACTGAGGCCGGTTTGTGAGGATGTCAGACATTCTCACCACCAAACTGCAGGTGATCCAGTTTGTTGGTGAGATTCCAACTGAGCAAAAAGGTATTGAGCTCTGCGAGTCTGAGGCTGCCGTCAGGGGTTGGGGGCCTCTGTTCTTTGTAGTTAGTTCAGTTAGCTCTTGTGACAAAGCTGAAATTATATGACATATTGAAATTTAACTTTCAAAATTTATTTCTTATGTATTTACTTTTTTTTTTGTCCAGGTCAGCGTCTTTGGGTTTGGAGCAGACAGCAATGGAGACTGGGGCCATTACTTTGAAAAAATGAAAGAGCAAAATTTTGGAACTGGATATCATCCAGGAACATATGAATATAATCTTATTCAGCAGCTACACATGATACAGAAAATCACATTGTATAAAGGACATTAATTTTTTTCCTTTGTTTGTCCTTCCTCTTTTTTAAATCCAATGTTTACAGCAAAGCTTAATTCATTATTAACGTAATTTATTTTGTGCTTCAGTGTTTTTATCTTTAGAGGAGTCATCAGATTTCTTTTTTATAAAATTGATTCTCATGGTGTGTTTTTATATATTCAAAAACAAGGTCTTCAGGTTTACTAGTGCTTCTAAACCATAGATGTTAATGTGAGTGTGAAAAGTTGTCTGTCCTGAGACTAGGGTGTACCTTCTTCTAGTGACAGAGGAAATAGCATTGAGCTTCCTCTCCACTACACTCAACTACATAAGAGCTGAAGACGATGGATAGATGGAAAAGTGTTTCTTTCGAGTAGGCATCAAGATTATGATAGTTAGCTAAAAGTAAACTGAAAACTACTAGTTGTAATAAGAAAATATTCTTAAATTCTCTATTGCCCTTCCACACTTTTTAAGCAGCCTAGTGTTGATCCACTAATTATTCTTTAAATCAGACTTAATCTGCTTTTAATTGCAAAGAATGTATTTAATTTTTGCACATAAAACTGTGTGGTAATCATTATTAGGATGTTGAAAAGGTTGTGCAGAAAGCTGGTCAAAAGAAAAAACAAAAATAAACAGCTGATGATGGACAGATGCAACAATATCAATTGTGCAATACCTTGTGCAATAAAGAGGATGTAAGTTGTATCACAAGACAAAAAAAGTCAGCTGATCATTTTGTTTCACTAACTCTTCCGGGAAATACATTTTGTATAGGGTATAGGAGCTGTGGCTGTTTGTCTGTGCCCACCTTTAAATTTTAAATACATATAGACATTGAGGGTTCTTGGGAGGGGCTGTGCTGACACCAGCTGTTGTCTGGCAGTTGGTCGTTGGCACCCACTGCTCTGCTGTTTTCGTTCTGCATCAGTGATATACTGGCTGCCTTGGTTTGTGATTGCCAGATGCAGTGGCTGCATTTTTAGGGAAATAGTTGTATATAACTTTTATTGTTTACCATATTTGTGCATAGGTTTTTATTTCTTTATATTTGCATTTCAAGTTGTGAAAATAATTCAGTAAACATGTCTGTGGTTTTTACATACAAATATATCACATTTTCCCTACTCGGTTTTTATGTTTTTTGAGTGATTTCAGATCAGTTGTATTAATACAGTAGTCAGTGAAAAAATAACTGTAATCCACATATGTGAAATTGTGCTGAAAATAAGAATACCAAACAAGACAAGACAAAAAACATTTCTAAAGGTGAAATATCAAGGTAAAATCAAAAATAGTCAAGAATGATATTTCATAATTAGTATCACATACAGTGTTCCCTCATTCATCGTGGGAGTTATGTTCTAAAAATTGATCTACGTCCCTACCCCCTACGGTAACGAGCTGTGGGTAGTGATCAAAAGAAAAAGATTGCGGATATAAGCGGCAGAAATGTGCTGCCTTCGAAGGGTGGCTGGCCTCTCCCTAAGAGATGTGGTGAGAAGTTTAGCCATCCGGGAGGGGCTCAGAGAAGCGCTGCTGCTCCTCCACATCGAAAGGAGCCAGTTGAGGTGGTTCGGGCATGAATCTGGGAATGCCTTGGTGTTCCCCCGGACAAGACCCCGGATAAGCAGAAAAAGATGGATAGATGGATATCAGCAATACTGGCCCTGTATTTTCTTGGTATTGGATCGACACCAAAATTTGCAGTGTAGCACAGCACTACTAGGAATGAGTGAAAGTGTGAATGTTGAATGTTTTTGATGAAATGTCCATGCAAGCATATACGTATTAAATGACACGATATATGTGTTCTAATAGCTAACTGACAACTTCAGGTTTTTTATTTCTATATGACAATTCTTCATAATTAAACAATAAGAACAAGTAGTCTGATGTCCTGTAATCATTATGAAGATACAATTTGAAGTACAATAACACATTAAGATTTCGTACAAAGTATCAGCATTGGATCAGTAAATCAGTAAATCGGAAAGGAAATCAGTGGTATCGCACATCACTTCCACAAAGCTGAAGCCTGAGCCTAACCTAAGCCTGAGAAGAAGCCTTATTTCAAATAAAAAAAGAGTGTGAAATTGTAGTTAGACTTGTATTTGTAAATGAACCACCTCGTGATGTGTAGATTTCTTGATTTTATACATATTGGGCTACATACTTATTTATTATAATTATTATAAGGCTATATAGTACATAAAAATTCACGTTTTATGTTAGTGAAATGTTTAATTATCTGGGCTAAAGAAAATAAAGTTATAGACTATACTTATATGAAGCTTGTATACTTACTGCATTTGATGTATTTTAACCATATGTAATGCACATTACAGGATGTAACACCTGCTTATATGTAAAAAAAAAAAAAAAAGGCTTTGATTTTGCCACCCCTTTTGATTTCCATGCCAAAATTTCTCTAGATCCGCACCTGATACGCATTTAATAACCTGTGATGTTGTAAACTGTTTAGTTGTGTTTGGAAGAAAAGCTAGTATATCACGGCTAACAGCTGGACTTTTCAGTTTGAGTGCAGATATTGAACAGCAACTTACTGCTAACGAGACCAGAGTGAACGGGAGTGAACGTGAACAGTATAACCTTTGTTTCTTAACATAAAACTAATTGTTGCAGCTAGGGACAGCCCAAATTTTATCTCCTTAAACTGACTTTAGTTTTAGTTTTCCTTAGTTAACTAGCATAAATTAATGTACTATTACCCCCCTCCAACCACATGATGATGCCATTCTGAGCTGACAGAATGTCACCTAAACATGTTTGTAAAACTTTGACTTTAAGCACTTATTTCTTAAATCCAGCTTCACAGACAGTGTTGAATCTATGCCAGTTTTTGAGAGCTGGGCTCAATGGTGTAATTTAAGCTCTAAATGTGTAGCATTTTATGTGGCCTTTAAATTTTTTATTTTATGCTGTTTGTTATTAGCAGCCAATCATGAAACAATATCATTTGTTCCAATTTATTAAAATTTATTTCACATAAAAATATTGCTTGAGATGCATTATATAGTATTTTTGCACAAAAAAGTGATTCTTTATTTGTGAAAGTGGAACAATAAACAACTGTGTTACTGCTTCACCACTATTTAAGTTTGTACATGTTTCAATAATTTGCTGCACCCGTTTCCCAGTTTCTTCGCAACATTTAAAGCAGTCGGGGGGGACTCAAGACTAAGTATTGTAGGTTATCAAGTTACCCTTAGCTTAGTGCTTGTGTTACAGGCCTTCAATGGG